AGAGAAGACACTCCCTCCTTGGTTCTGCATCGCCAGGAAGGGTTAACAATGGTGGGGAGGAGCCGCCTAGCTCAGGCAGCCCAATGGGAGGGAGCCCACCCACAGGCTTCCTGCAGGGGAGGGAAAGCTGGGTGGCCTGAAGGCAAGGTATGCCGGGTGGGTCTGGTTACGCACAAAGGCCCGGAGCCAGCAAGCCGTTGGGTCAAAGTTTGGCCCCCAAGAGCCACTGGGTTGAGTTCATTCTTCTGAACTGATATCATGAGACATCTTCTGGAGGAGGAAGGAAATGATTTCCCCAGGAATGCACGACACAGTGATCCGGGAGCAGGCAGATGACAGGAGCTGCAGGACTGAGAGTGATGTGTGCCTGAGTATGTGTGTGCATAAGTGTGCATGTGTGTGTGTGTCTGTATGTGTGTGTGTGAGAGAGCATGTGACATTGTGAGCATGATTGTGTATGTGAGTGTGTGTTTATGTAAGTATGTGTGTGACAGTGTGTGTGTTGGAGGAGAAAGATGAGTGTGTGAGTGTGTCTGAATGTGTGTGAGTGTGTGTGTATATGAGTGTGTGAGTGTGTGTGCATGGGGGTATGTGTGTGTATATGAGTGTGTGTACATGAGTGTGAGTGTGTGTGCATGGGTGTGTGTGTGTATGAGTGTGTGAGTGTGTGCATGGGTGTATGTATGTGAGTGTGTGTATATGAGTGTGTGTGCATGGGTGTATGTGTGTGTGTGTATGTATTGTGTGAGTGTGTGTGCATGGGTGTATGTGTGTATATGAGTGTGTGTGAGTGCGTGTATATGAGTGTGTGTGTGCATGGGTGTGTGTGAGTGTGTGTGTATGAGTGTGTGTACATGAGTGTGTGTGCATGGGTGTGTGTATGAGTGTGTGTGAGTGCGTGTATATGAGTGTGTGAGTGTGTGCATGGGTGTGTGTGTGTGTGAGTGTGTGTATGAGTGTGTGTATTGTGTGTGTGTATATGAGTGTGTGTGAGTGCGTGTATATGAGTGTGTGAGTGTGTGCATGGGTATATTGTGTGTGTATATGAGTGTGTGAGTGTGTGCATGGGTGTGTGAGTGTGTGTGTGAGAGTGTGTGTGTGAGTGTGTGTGTGAGAGTGTGTGTGTGAGTGTGTGTGTGAGTGTGTGTGTGAGTGTGTGTGTGAGTGCGTGTGTGTGAGTGTGTGTGTGTGAGAGTGTGTGTGTGTGTGTGTGTGTGTGAGAGTGCATGTGTGTGAGTGTGCGTGTGTGTGAGAGTGTGTGTGTGCGCAGTATTGGATGAGTAGAAGAAGGTGTGGAGAGACTTCAGTTTGTCTTAGCAGCGGGTCCTCTAACGCCAGTGGCGGCCACAGTAAACCATCCCCGAGCGGTCCCCCGTGCTGGGCACGCAGCTGTCCCCGGCGCCCGCAGGACAGCGCGTGAGTGAGGGGGGCAGGAGCGCGGCTGCTGTCTCCAGAGGAGGGGCTGCGGCTCGGAGAAGCTGCGGACATCGCAGCATCGCAGGCTGGGCCTCAGACCCAAACCTGCCTGGTTCCAAAACCTGAGCCTCCCACTGGAGCCGGGGCCTCCCCACCCCCGACAAATGGCCGGCTGTGTCCCCTTGTCCGGGGTTAGGGAACCTGCCCACCCGAAGGAAACAACTCTCTAGGCCAGTGGGTGCCGACTGAGGCCCTCAGGCTGGATTCACTCCCCATGAGGGTTTGCTTGGTCCTCGCCTCGTTGTGCAAACATGTGGGTCTGATTCAGGCAGTTCACCATAGTGTCGCCACATTTCCTCACACCCCAAATTCCAGTCCTTCATGTTACCTGCCCGGCTGCTATGGGCAAGTGAGCGCTTGTCAGTCTACTTGTCACCCAGCGCTTTGTCCAAGTGAGCCGGGGCTTCAGCCCCCCTTGTTACAGTTCCCCCCTCTGCACACAGAGGTCGTGGAACCCGCCCTCCCGTGATGGTGGGGAGGACGGCGGCGATGCTGAGGATGAGGACGGCGGCGATGCCGGGGAGGACGGCGGCGATGGTGGGGAGGACGGCGGCGATGCTGGGGAGGACGGCGGTGATGCTGGGGAGGACGGCGGCGATGCTGAGGATGAGGACGGCGGCGATGC